TTTTTTATATAAATCAAACACGGGCTAAATGTTAAATATTGACTTTATAAGACTAAATTATATTCATTCCGTCCCATAAAGATAGTTCTAATTATTTTTTTCAAACATATTAAGAAAATTTAGTTAATATAGTTGAAATAATAAATTTTACTATCAATTTTTCTATTATACCCCTATATTAATGCAATCAATATTCAAGGTAATTAAATTATATTTGTGATAACAAAGCACATTAAATAGGGATATATTAGGAAGATAATATAATAACTACACTCAAAAAATAAGAAATATGACTATAATTTGGGACAAACGAAAGAAAAAAACATGAATATTTTTATGGGACGGAGGGAGTATCTTTTCATTAAAAGTTTTGGTAGCCTATCTTATCCTACTTTTTTCTGAAATATTATAGAATGAATATGTGAATTGAATTACATTATGGAATGGTGTTTTCATTCTTTCTTTTCGAGTTTTTCACGAGTAGAGGGACCTAGGAGTTAATTCTTGCATCTGCCTTTACAAAGTACACAAGGATATCTGCAATTGTTTTTTCATACAAGCTTAAAGCTTCACGCAGTATATATGACAACGGTTTCAATGAACTTCTTGATATTGTTCGAGACATGTTACCACATTGGAATGCCCTTCCGGATTCTTGTAATTTAACAAAAAGGTTATTGAACACATTTGATCTAGAGTATGAGAAGATATGTGCATGCATAGATGATGGTTGTTTGTTTCGAAAGGATCTACAAGATTTGGAGACATGTCCAAAATGTGCATCTTCGCTGTGGAAAGTTAATAAACGAATTAAGAAGATTCAAAAAGGGATACCTACAAAGTTGATGTTGACATTCATTTGCAAAATGTTCAAATTGAGAAAGAACCGAGTTATAAAATTGTATAGAAAAATCAAAGTATTTATAGGAAATAAGTAGGGGATGTCCAAACTCACCTAGTAGAGTTATTGATGAAATGAGATACCATAAAATTGAATCCAAAACAAATTTCAACTCTCAATAGGCTTCCAAAATAGAATTTCAACATGACATGGAACTCCAATAATATTTCAAATTTGAATTCTTCATGAAGTGCATTTCAATTACTTCAACAAAGAATTCGGGTCACACCCAAATTCTAACACCTTAAGCCGTAATATTTGACATATTCTTCTCCTCTTACTTTTTCATTTATTTTTTTTTCGGTTTCCTCCTGTGGCTGTGTATAGATATCTTCTCTTTCTTTTATTTTTTTTTCAATTGGCTACGGCTCTTTTCCCTGTGCGTGAATGTGGATATATTTATATGGTTCAGCTCCTATTTATCTTCTCATCCCCAGCAGCCCAAATTCTTCTCTTTTAATTCATCTAATAAAAGTCCAATTAAGGCTCATTTAATGTATCATTTTCTTCAAAGTACCTTCACTTTCCAAAGTACGAACTTGTATTATTTTCTTCAAAGTAAGTCCTTCGTTTTTCAAAGTACGAACTTTAATCTCCAAACTTTGCCTCCAATAATTTAGTCTCCGTACTTTGGATTTTTGCCATTTTTCGCTATTTTGCATTCTTTTCTTCAATTCTTCATTAAGAATAAAGTTTTACCTACAGAATACAATAAAACATAAATTAGGTAGAATTTTATTCAAAAAATAATAAAATATCATAATTTAGAGTTTCGAATAAGTATAAAAACTACACTTGTCAGTGGACATGAAAGGGCAGCCAGAAGATGTCGCTTCAGTAAATTCATCAGAGGTTTTGCCCTTAATTAAACCAGCCAGCAGTTCTCCACGGTCACGAAAGAACTCCTTCTTCACAATCTTGGAATGCTCATCCACCTGTTTCAATGCATCAAAAAAATGTTTAGCACGCATTGTTAGGCTGGACATACAATAAATAATATTGTAGCTTTTAGTCATGTTTTATACCGTCAAGTGCTATATAATTCACGCTTCCTGCCACATGCGTGCTACACACTATTGGATCTGCCTTGTGTACCATTTCCATTTCCCATGTCTACACAAGCCTCTGCACTTTCTCTTCAAGTGATCCAGTGGGCCATATCTACCAGATGCATATTCATTATGGTTAAAATTTAGTTTTAGAAGAAAAACAAACAATATAACAGTAGGAACAAAGTCCTGTATCAGTTAGACATGGACATATGATGTGCGTGAGATGGAACTCCAATTCTGTAAAAGAGGTATCANNCTCCAATTCTGTAAAAGAGGTATCAGAGCAAGGCCTCGAACTTAGCCATGTGGATGCACAAGATGGATAGCTCGTTGCAATTGAGCGAAGGTGGTGGGTCTTGAGTTAGATCGCTATAAATGGAAAAAGTCGTGGTTAGCTCTCAAGTCGGTGACCCTTGACACATTAAAAGGGTTAGGTCTTGAAGATGTAATCCTTATTAGTTTGAGTAAGAGATGGATGCACTATTTCTTGAGAGGGATCGAAATGATATGATAATTCATTCGATGGGGGATTGTTGGAAATGTGAGAATAAATTCCCTTATTGGTTAGAAAATAGATGATAGGATTATAAAGGATGAATGCTTCATCTAATACGTTAACCTTTTGGGATGGAATCTCAATCCCCCTACATGCAATAAAAATATTATTTATATTTGAAGAATCGAATCTTTTTTTGTCACAAAAGTTCTTATTACTAGAGTCTACTTGCATCGAAAACTTAAAGTTGCATAATAACATAAAATTTTTGTTACTAAAACTCGAAAATAAGTGTAAAAAATTGCATATGTTAGTTCTTCCTTCTTCAAAGAGCTTGTTTGTATCATCATAATTGGGAGTACCAAAGTTCACTCAAATAGGATCTATACTTGTCTCCATTTGCTGCTGAAATTGCCATATTTTCTTGAGCTGAAAAGTTAAGCTTGGTGAGGATAGGACTATTCTTGATTGATTGTTATATATCCCTTGTTTGATGTTGCTGAAAATAGTTTTTCAGTAGATTTTGATAACACTGAATGAAATGTATTGTTGAAAAGTTGATAAAATTTAATTTGTGGTTAAAATTAATTATTGGTTTTGATTAGAATTTTAATCTTATTTTTAAGCAACACTAAACAGGTGCATAACACTAATATCATTGAACGGGTAAAAATCTTTTTACTCTCATCAAAGGAGAAATCTAACTTATAGATTATAGACCATGCTATATGTACATAAGTATGATACATTGGTTTGCATCTATGTGAGTTGACAGGTTTTAGTACATTGATCTTGACAACACCTTTTACAATCAAT